ACTCACTTTGGGTCAGCTTTAAAATGCAGTAAAAACAGTAACAACAACTGTAGCTAGATATTCTTTATAAGTATATTTATATAAAATTCCTCTTTAAATATTACAACTATTTTGCAAATCTAAATCTAAATTTTGCAGCCACCACATCAAAAATGACAAAGAACATCTAGAAATTGCTGAAAAGGGTGTAACTTACCTTAGCACCAGGAGGTTTTGTTCTTTGCAGTCTTGCAATATAACATAATGCCATTGCAATGGCCCCCGCTAAAAGAGATTCTGTAATAACAGATGAGTTTTCTGTAGTTAACACCTTAGCCAAATTTCGTTTAGTGATTTTTTCGACTGCTGTAAATACTTCATACTGTCCATCAACTTGTCGTATATCAGCGTTTTTGCCCTGACCAGGATATATAAACTGACTAAAAAGAAGCAATTTTAAGAGGCATAATTTTTAAAATACAAAATTCTTACCTAGTTTTTGAATGACACGCCATAATAGCTAATTTATTTTGAGATTTTTGCATTAAATGTGAATTGGCAAAAGCTATAACTGAGTCTACACAATGAGTTAAGACATGAGGACTTTCCCTTAACATCTTCTGACCTGGGTTACTGTCAACAATTATTACTAACAAACTAGTCTCATCTACGGAAGCATCTTCCGTTTGTAAATCATTTGGTACCGCTATATTATTCATTTTAACATTTATATACAAAAATAATAGGAATAAATTTGACACTGGCCGGAGTAGTAAATATTTGGCTTGATAAACATAATCTAACTTGACAATATGACAATCTTGATAAAGCAGTGCTGCCAATGATTATTTTAAAAGTCAACAGATACTTCGTTTGCTTACAAGGGGCGTTTAAGAATTATCATAACAATCAAAATTTGTGATAGTGTCAATGATATGACAAGGATAAAATAAAATTTTTCAGAATAACAAATATAGCCAAGTTTAATGAAAAAAGCTATAAAAAAGAAGTTTTCTGGTACAAAGAGTTTAATTCGGTAAAAAGTACAATATATTAAGTCATCCATAAGTAATATTGATAATTTTAGTAACGCCCTATCCAAGACATCTACTTCATCATATGAATCGGTTTCACAAACTGTAGAAAACCCGAAAGAATATATGGAGCAAGAAATTTTATTGAAAAACGAGCTGGAAGCGTTAAAAGATCAAATATCAAATCTAAAAGCAGCCGTACAAGTTTTACAAGATGAATCTGACCAAAAGGACATTTCGATCGCCAATTTAGCTAGAGAAAAAGAAAAAATATCTTCAGACCTCCTTAAAACTCGAAGATCCAATGTATCTTTGGCTAAACAATTAGACGATGAACGAAAGTTTTATTTTAAGGAAAAAGAATTATACTGTCAAGAATGAATGAATGTAAAAAACTTCGAGCACTTTATAGTAATAGTTCAGCGGCTCAAAATGAGAAAACTATCGATGAGTATAGGAACGAGCTTGCAAAAATAAAGCAAAATTTAAATCAAACACTACAAGCTAACTATAATTTAAGTATTAAGTTTTTAAGGATGAAAAATACCAAAACTTGTTTAAAAACCGAGATGCGAACGTTGAGATTGGAATACGAGAAGGTAAGTACACTAAAACTAAAATTAGTTATAGTTTAGTTAATTTGATCAATTACAACAGAGAAATACAAATATACCAACATACCAACTGTAGTCACAAGAAAAATACAGTGTTATGAATGAGGCCAGAAATATTCATAGGTGCCGAAAAAATGGAATCAAACCAATGAAGTATGAGATAAAGTCCTACCAGAGATCTAAGAGGGTCATTATTATTTATTATCGATAAGTGCCTACCGCAAGGCAGCGGGGGATCGCCTCTGGACTGGATCGTACTTTTATTTTCTATTAGCATTACTTACTCGATTGTTAGGTGTATTTAAGTCGGACTTAATCATTGTCTACTGAAGTTATAATAGTTGAAAAAATATTTACATTCACTACATTCTCATATTTACAAAACTTTGTTATTTCTAAATAATGCACAAAAAGAACAGAGGCAAAAATATTTTAGAAAATTATTTTCAAAATTGAGGTGTGTCTAACAGCTGGTTTTATATCGTTATCAACTGAATTTAAAAATATTTACATAAATTACGTATACATAGAAAGTTTACTATTTATAAATACAATTAAAAAGGTACTTATATTTAAAAAGAATTACATGGACAAGTCAGTTTCACTATCACAGTCGTTATCTAGATCTAATAATAATTGATCCTTTGAGCACCCTATCTGTATTTTTTCAGCAGTAATTGGTTATTTTCTCTGTTGCTAATTCAATTAGACAAATCACAGATGAATTTAGGGTAACTGAAACATTACTTCTCCTTACCGATGCTTTTAGCTCATGCCATATGTGTTTAATAGGATTGAACATGCAATAGTAAAGAGAAAGTCTTAATACTGTACGACCCATTTCTTCCGCCAAACTGTCGCAATAATATTGTTTTCTGATGGAAAATGATTTTGAAGTTTTAAGTAATTATTTTTAGAATAATTATCTTCATAACATATATCATTTTCCAGCATAATATTCCTGGATTCTAAGTTTGGTGTCATTAGAACATGGAACTCTATTCGGCTTACGACTGTGGTAGCTGACATTTTCCATCACAATTACACTGTTTGGTGCTATATTTGGCAATAACTTCGTTGAAAACCAGTTCTCAAATAATTCTGACGTGGGGTCATCATGATAGTCGACACAGGAGTCCTTAATATTTTTGCATGTCAAGACTCAAGCATTACATATAAAACCTTTTTTTCCTGCATGGAATATTGTAATACGTTTTCCTTTATTTGATAAAGCTTTTTTTGTACAGCGACAAGAAGAATCTGCCCAACCACACTTCGGAACGTCATGGGTGTCAAACCACGTCCCATCCAGATAAACAATATCTCTTCCATTTTCTCTGTATTTTTGAATTTGAATTAAAAATTCCGTCCTCCATATTTGTAGACAAGCATATTCCATAATCACTTGGCGTTGATCATCGTTTTTATTTTAAAGCCGTTTTTAGAAGACATTGACTTACATTCTCACTGCAGCACTTAATTCATGTGTCAACTTCCTGTAACATATGCATGATGGTTTTTAAAGTGGGGATCAACTATAATTTATTCTTGTTATAAATTTTTCTTCTAATGATGTCCATATCACTCCAATCTAGTTCCCTAAACATACCAGCGTATTTTCTTTTTCTTCTATTTACTATCGGTTTTTACTAAACTAAAACTATACAAATCAATTAGTTTATGAATATGTACTGTGTGAGTGGGGCGTAGAAATGACAACTTTAACTTATACAAAGAATTCGTGAGCTATCCTCTATCTTGATTATTACTACGAAATAAAGATGTCTAATTTAATATATTATTCTCCATATTTTTATAGTACATAGGGGTTTTCATTTTGTCTAATGGAATACATACGTTTAAATCTCTAGTGTATTTAAATTTTCAGCTGGTAAGCGATTATAAAAGCAGAATTGAAAGTCTCATAGTAGAACTAAATGATTTAGTAAACGATAAACTAAACACAACTATTTCATGTAGCAGCAAAAAGTATTTACAGGTATGTTTTTTCTTATTAATCACTTTCAGAAACATTTTTTATATATAAACATTTTATATGACCTAATATATCTGGATACTAGGTATTTACTGTTTCTACTACAATTTTTTATCGAAATTGGAAACTTCAACCTAATGCATCATACTCTATATAAACAAATACTGGAATTTTTATTAATTTACTAACTATTTAACTCATTTATCTTCTCAATATATTTCTTCAGCTTTAGTTGTGTTCTTTAGTAATATTTATCAATCATCTTTCACGCTTGGTCTTTTGTATGTTTTGCTAGACACGACAAACCCTATCCAATAAAATGTGGCGTGTAAACAGCAAATCGTAACATCAACAAAACCAAAGAAATGCGAATTGGTACCAGAAAGAACCAACCTATTATGATCAACGACCAGAAAATTGAGAGAGTAGCGGAATTTGTATATCTGGGCAGCATAATTGACTGTAATGGGGGTACAGAGCGTGATGTACATGAAAGAATAAATAAGGCTCGCAACGCCTACAACATGTTTAACAACATATGGAAATCCAGGATTTACCCAACTAAAACTAAATTAAAAATCTTCAACACCAATGTAAAAGCTGTATTTCTGTATGGCTGCGAAACGTGGAAGATATCAGCACCCATAGTACACCAATTACAAGTTTTCATCAATAGAGCATTACGAAAAATCCTTCGTATATTTTGGCCTAACCGAATCTCCAATGAAAATTTATGGAACCAAAGCAACCAAGAAAATGTCATAAAGCAAATAAGGCGAAGAAAATGGAGATGGCTGGGCCACACACTCCGTAGACCGCTAAATTGCCAGGACAGCGCTGGATTGGAATCCCCAAGGCCGACGGAAAGTAGGCAGACCTAAGGGAACTTGGAGAAGGACAGTACTGGACGAAGGGAGAAAAATGAGAAAATCCTGGCTTGAAATCAAAGCACTAGCCAGAAATAGAGTTCGCTGGAGACACTTTGTGGAAGCCCTATGTTCCTCTTAGGAATCTTGGGACTATATATATATATATATATATATATATATATATATATATATATATATATATATATATATATATATATATATATATCTATAAACAGCAAATCGTACGTCTTGTCGAATCGAAATGAAATCTAAGTTCTTATTGATGAACTGATGAAGAAGAATCATTTTGCAAGAACTGATATGAAAAAACGAAACGTGTATTGAGGTGTCCATTCGTAAATAATTGCACCAGCCGTCAGGTTCGCCTCTCAGTTCGTCTTTCAATTCCTCGATTATCAAAAGAATAATGTCTCTCAAAAATATTCACTAAAAAAACTTCACACTGCTAAAGACTCTGGAATGAAGTGGTGCCAAAGTTCGCTTGTTCGCTTTTAAAATTTGAATTAAACTAACAGCTTTAGCATAAAATAATGTTAATTGTTACGTCTCAGTGTTCTCACATTGAAAGGAACAGTGAGACTTTTAGTAATTTTCAGTTTTAATATTTTTGAGGTGTAAACTTTAGTTTTTATCAAAAAATACATGTTTTTTCAGTTCTTTTTATATACTAAATAGAGAGGTACAATATAAGTTTAAAGTAGCATTTAATAAAAAAGTTATTGTAATTGAAAGTTTTGCGTCTCAGTGTTCCTACCACTCCACTACATTCTGGCGTACGTTTTTAATGCCTGACAAAACGTACAATAAAATGTAGCGTGAAAACTGGCATTAAGATAGCTCTGCATTTTCCTACAACTTATACTCTTATCTTTGCGAAACCACCCTGTCTCTCAGGTTTAATCTGAGCTTATATAGTTCCCTTTTTCTTTGAGTTATTTTCAGTTTTTCTATTGGTTTTTGTAAGAGACAATATTTAAGAAAGGTATGTCATCATAGCGTAGATGTATTATGTGATTATTACTAGTTTTTGTGGTTGGTAGGAAGTCCTCTAAATACTGATTTCACTGATAAATCCTTTACAGTACTTTTGTTACTGAAATGTTCATTTTTAGCCTATTTGTGAGTTGCGATTTGTAAGTTTCTATCAGTATATACACATCAGTATATACACTAATGCTATATTATTTCTTTTAATTATTTCAGGTAGTTAAGCAAAACGGTTGTTTGGTTTATGAAAACCTATGTCTTCAACTTGAAGTAGATAATTTAAATTTCAAACTTGAAAAATTAAAACTAAGTCAGACGAAATATTCTACAAATGAACATTTAAGATACGTGAAGCATTCTAGGCGAAGTCAGGATCCGAGTTGTTTAAGAAACAATGGGGATGAAGCTCCGGAAAAGCTAGAGAGAGAACCACAACCATGCTGTAGCAAAACAAACGATTCTGATGTAATAAAAATATACGAGAGAAACGAAACTTCTGTAATTCCTACTATAAAGCTGATGAACGAGCAAAAATCAAAACTACCAGAGAAAAAGAAACGGAAGAAGAAAGAATTACTTCCAAATCAATCCACCAGCACTAAAAGTGAAAATCAAGTAAATACACATGGAGTTGAAAACACCCTCGTAGAAGACAATTACAAAAAGAAAATAGCCAATAATTTATCAAAAATTGCATTGTTTCAAGTTTCTACTACAACATCGATTACTTCTGGAATGTCAAACTACCTACCAAGTTCAAATTTGAAAAGAACTCAATCTTCACCCAATATTTTGGAAAACTTAGATTTTCAAAAAAACTCTTGAAGTTTTAAAATATATTTTTATATGTAAGCGTCAACTTTTGTTTGCTAACAATAATAATAGTTACTGAAATATGTCCTTTTTACTTTGTTCCGAAATTTAGATTATTTATTACTTTCACCTCGTAAAACCAACTGCTGCCAATATAGAGCAACCGAACTTTCTATTCTATTTTGACGTGTGGTAATGTGAACGAAAAACAAGAAAGTGTTAATCTGCGTTGATGACTCAACCCAATAATATTTAAACGCAACTTTTTAATAAACCAGGAATTGGTTATTATCATGATTCGTTAATTATTTAATACTCAGTGGTTACAAAATGGTCGGAAGAATCGAATTGCAGGAGTGTCTCAGGGATTCTCCAAAATTCAGGTTCGTACTTTGATCATTTGTAATTGTTTACAATACATTTTCAATTAATTAAATTATCAAATTTCAGGAGTTTGTTGGAAGTAGAAGAGGCAAGCGTCGATCAACTCGAAAATAAGCTCGAGAAGATTTTGAAAATATGCGGATCTATGGTGGATTCTGGAAAAACATATGTTGGACAACAAAGGTAAACTTTTATGTTATGGGAAAATTTTGAATTAACATAAATAAGCAAGTAACTTTAACATCTACGAAATGTTTGTTGAAAAGAGGGTGTTTTTAGTAGTTACAGTCAATGTTTAGTGTGGCAAAGTGTTTAGTTACAGTCAAAATAGAAAACAAGTACTGCATGTTTTGAAGATCAATTTCTAGCAATTGATCTATTTTGGTAACATTGTCTATATTAAATTTAACCTTTTGGGATTGTCCTATCCTTTTTTCTTTTCCTAGATGGTATTTTATACTATTTACATATGTAAGTAAATAAACATGAATCATTAGTGATTCAGTTTGTTTATATTTGTGTAAACATTTTTTGCTTTTATAAATATTTCTTAAGTCAATCAATTATGTGTTTTAATGATATTATATTAAAACAAGGCTCCAATTCATTGCAGATGTATATTATAAAGTAAATACATTGTATAGGATTGTTAAATGTAGATTTGTACTTATTGAAATGTAACTGAAGTCAAATGGAAAGATGAAAAACTAACTGAAGCTCTTTTAAATAGATAAGAGTTTATTACATACAGTAGTTTTTGTTGATAAAATTGAAGACATGATCTGGATGTTTATGATTCATCAGTGGATGTAGGATGGTGAAGTTGTACTGTCATATGAATTTGAGTCAGAGCTTCTGTAGACATTGACCAATAGGTGTTATGTTTGTTTTTTTTTATATAATCAATTGCTTATTTTTATAATACTCCTCAGAGCACTTCTTTCCGCTTTGTGCAAGAAGCAGGTTTTTTGGTGTTAATAGTGACCATATTCTAGTAGGGGGTCAACAGATCTGTTTATAAATGTTTGTAGCTGTTGTGGATGACATTCCTAAATTTTTGTATCATAAAGCTCTGAACCTTCTGAAGTATTTGGGTCTGCCAATTCCTCTTTTCTTTGTTGGCAAATTAAAATTTAGTTTTGTATCAAAAGTCATTCCTAGATAGAAAAGAGGGAAGGGACAACTTTTTTGTGCTTATCAATGGCAGCAATTGCTGGCATCAAGGCATCAGTGTCAAATGTAGTGAATTGTAATGAATATTATACTGTCATCAGCATATCTCAAATCACTCAGTTTTTTTCCATTAACACTTATTCCTTTATCTAGCCAGTTATGTCTTTGAACACATCTTCCAGTCCAAGTGTGAATAGCTTTGGTGAGATAAAATCTCCCTGGCGAACTGCTCTGTTCATTGGTACAGCTTTGGTTTTCGCATCTATTTTTATTTTCATTGTAGCTTTCTTGTAAATATTATGTATGAGTATTCTGTATCAGGAGTCTATCCTGCAGTTGTTCATAGCTCTCTCTATTGCCCAAAGTTCTATGGAGTCGAATGCCTATTCATAATCAATAAAGCCAATGTATAAGTTCAAGTGATATTCATTGGTTTTCTCTATTAGAGTTCTGAATCTAAGAAGATGATCCGCTGTACTGTAGCCCTTTCGGAATCCTGCCTGCTCTACCAGTTAATAGCTATCGAGCTTCAATGTTAACCTGTTAGTTATTATTCTCATAAACAGTTTGTACATTTGGGAGAGCAGGGAGATTGGCCTATAGTTCTTCAAATCTCCCCTGTCTCCCTTTTTGAAGAGAAGTATTGTCAATTTTTCATTCCAATCATCTGGGACTTCTCTGTGAAGACATTTGTTGAAACAAATTTTCATTTCATCTAGAATAATTTCACTCTCCTCCTTCAACATTTCTACAAGTATTCCATCTGGGCCCGGAGCCTTATTGTTCTTTAGTTGAGCCATAGCTTGTTTTATTTTGAAGGATTCTATGTTAGGGAGTATTTTTGACTTGACATTCATCATCTTTCTTTTAAGATCTTCCTTTGCAGTGTTATCTTTGATCTTATTTGAGGAATATAAATCACAGTAAAATGTTTGAGTAACTTTTAGGATTTCGTTATTTTCTCTTATTTCTTTTCCATCTTTATCCTTCAATGAGATTATTATAGGCTTTCTTAAGTTTGATCCTAAGCATTTCAGGCCCTGGTTCTTTTCTATTATTTTTTCTACCTTGTTTTCATTATAGATTCTTAAATCTTTACTCCCTTCTTTATTTGTTTATTGAATTCTTTGAAACCATTGGTGTTTCGCTTTCCTTCGCTTAGAAATGTGAGTCTCTTTTCCATCAACTGTTTTGTTCCTTCACTTATTCAGTCTTCTTTATTTTTCGTTTTCTTTGCAACAGTCAGTCCTGGTGTCAAGAGCTTTCGTTGCATTTCTTTATTAATTGTGTTCATGTCGGGATATTCTTGTTGATAAAGTCTGTTTAAAAAGAATCCTTGCTCTTAAAAGGCGATGATCGCTGCCAGTTGTGAATCGATTGAGAGTAGGGATGTGTAGTTCACCATCGAAATAGTTCTAATGAACGATTCTTTCAACTGAACTAATTGAACTAGTTCATTAATTTTTATAGAACTAGTTCACTGCGAACAATTTGCATTATAAATTATGCCTCAACTTCTAAAGAAGAAAATAATGAATGAATAAATTAGAACATACATTTATTATTTTGTGAATGGATGGACTAACTAGTTTAAAAAAATGCCGATTAGCCTCAGATAACAGATTCATAATTTTTATGAATGTGACAATATCATTAAGTCTTATCTTAATGTCATAATGGTTCGGATCTTATGCCCATGTATTGGCTTGGATGTTGCCATGCTGTGTTGTTTCTTGTATTGTATTTGAGGTATTTACATAAAATATAATTTTATGTAAAAGTGAGAATGAAAATGTGTTATTTAATGTTCCTAGAAAATTCACTAATTTTGTTTTGTAAAGGTTCTTTTAGAAATAACCTAATTATAAATACCTACGAGTTTAAATATACGTAAATATAAAAATAAATCATACTTGAACCATATTTATATTTAAAATGGTTAATAAAAAACAAATCTTAATATGCAAATAAAAACTAACTAATCATATAATAATTTAAACAATTTAAACTTAAACATATGATCGAAAGAAATAGTTCCAAACTACTTGTACGGTAGTGAACTAGTGAAAGACTGAAAGAAAACGGGCGGCTGACGCCGAGCTTGTGTGATGATTGAGATGAGACATCTGGCAACCAGTTCTGTTAGGGTTGGATTTCGATGTCGGTCCTACAAATAGTTCTTTCGCGAACTAGTTCATTTTTGTGAAATAATTCTGTTGAACTAGTTCGTCTAAAAGAACTAATAAGCACACCTCTAATTGAGAGCAGTTATATCTTCAAAAATGTCCTTGTTTTCACAAAAGAAGTAATCGATCTCGATTTTCGTCTTTTTATCGGGAGATATCCACGTCCATTTTCGGTTTGCTGGTTTCTTGAAGTGTGTGCTCATGACATATAAATTTTGTTGTTTTAATAAGTTATATAATTTTTCTCCTCTTTCATTTCGTGTACCATAACCATGCATCCCTATTTTGGTTTCAGTATTTTCTTCCGTTTTACCCAATTTTGCGTTGAAATCTCCCATAATGATGGTATACTTTGTATCATTTCTTGTAATGCTGTTATCAAATCTTCGTAGAACATTTTAACTAGCTCTTCCTGATGTGTTGTTGTGGGAGCATACACTTGTATAACCTTGATTTTGGTTTTATTATATAGGTCTATTATTATATAAGCTACTCTATCAGAAACGCTTTTATATGTAGAAATGTATGGTGTGAGATACTTTTTGACAAGAAAACTCCTACTCCACCATATGTTTCATTTATTTTTCCTGTATAGTATAAGTGATTTTCAGATTTTAGATGCAAGCATTGTTCGCCTCTTCTTTTCACATCTGACAGTTCTACAATATCCCACTTTATCTTGGATAGTTCTTCTTCTAATTTGTAGACTGTTTCATCTTTAGTCATAGATTGGATATACAGTCTGTCCCAAACCCTTTTTTCAGTGCGTCACTAATTTTAACGTCATATAGGATTTTAAGAATGTCGAGAATTATTGCATGACATTTTAGTTAAATCTGACAGTTGCAGGATCGTAATCGGCTAAACGTGAAAAGGTTATTTTTTTTAATGCATAGCAGTTTTTCATAATTCTATTCTATTCTGTTCTATTTTATACATTCCATGGAAAGTGCTTAATTAGCTAAGATTTGTTTATGGATTTATTATTATTTATTACAAACACTAGGGAATTGGAAGGTTTGTTTATTTAAAATAACGCTTTCTCCTAGAATCTTTTAAGAGTTGACTGCAAGGTAAAAAAATTTACTGACAATTGCAAGGCATCAAAGTAAACATTCCTGTGATAAAATAATATCGATTTAAATCAGTCATATTTGGATAAGTAATTTTCTGATAAATTTGTGCGGCAGCCAATAGTTTAATTTTTTGAAGAGTTGTCATTAAATAGTGGAAATAGTTTAAATAGTGAAGCAGTTGATTTTAAAGTTACTCTACCAGATTTAGTGTGCAAATGAAAGAAGGTTATAAAGTTTAGTTAAAAAAAAACAATATAAATAGTTTAAATAGTGAAGCAGTTGATTTTTGAGTTAATCTACCAGTTCCGATATCCAGATGAAATCGTGCTAATGGAGTTTAGTTAAAAAACAAGATACCGAATGTAAGTTTACCTTCTTTTTTATGAATAACAAAAATGAATATTATATTTCAAACAATCTATAATCCCATTCAGAATCTGATTCTTGAAAATCAATGATTACACTAGATATGTGGCTGGTATCAATTATATCCTACATTTCAAGAAAATGTCGTGGTTCTAAAAAGAACCGTTTTAATACATATATATATATATATATATATATATATATATAATATATATATATATATATATATATATATATATATATATATATATATATATATATATATATATATCCATAAAGGCATTAGTTTAAGATATTTCCTCAATCTCATTCCGGAATTCACAATCTGATTCGCGAACGACAGAAACTGATAATAAAGATGTCTCAGCCTCTTTTTCTAATTGAAACTAATTTAATAATTTTAATATTAGTCTTTTTTCATTCTCGAATATTTAAAATATTTTTATGACAATAAATACAAAATTTAATTTTCATTGTAGTTAAAATGTCTGAAAATACTAACCTGGAATGGCAATTATCATTTTATCAGTTGACATTGTGAAAGTACTGTCACAGTCATTATCAAGATCATCTGTGTCAAATTATATTTATATGCATAATTGATTGGATATCTATTTAGCGTATTCTAAACTCCAACCAATTATACGTTCGTAAGTAGAATTCGCTTTAATATGCGAATACCCGTGAACGATACCTAATTTTCTAAGTTCTATGTATAATAATCAGCGACTCACTTTTTTTCTGTCACTTCTAGCTTAATGCGTTAGAGAGAATTCGAACAACTATGACGCACTGAAAGAATGGTTTGAGACGGACTGTAGTAACTTTTTTTGTCTGTTCATATCTATTTTGGCGCGTTTTGTTGAGCTTGTGCTTCCCCCAGAATCCCTGAGGCTGACCGGTTTTCCGGTGTGGGCTTCTGAGCTGCTAGCTCTACCCACCCTGTGTATCGTCCCATTTTGTTTTAAGTTTAACATGTTGTGTTGTGTTGTGAGGGGTATATTGGCTTTAAAACACCACGCTTGCTTGGCGGGTTGGTGAGTGTTCGCAGTATCACAGCCGGTTAAATCAGTATTTGATTTTCGCCTGCTACTTTGTGATACCGCTCCTGTCAGGAATTGTATTCCTTAGCCACGGGCCACTAATGACTCAGCTGCTGACCTGTGTCATGTCCTCTGTTGATCCGCGGGTACTTATTTGGCGAAGCCTCATTCATACCTGTCCTGCATATCTACAGGAACGTTCCCTATCAGCCATTGGGACGCGCCGTGTCGGGGTTGAGGACTTCTCCGCCCAGTCTGTCTTGCACAAAGTACTGAAGAACCCCTACTCAGTTCAGCATCCCTCCTCTACACAAGATAAGACCGGCACGATCGGAGATTTTAATACTTTCTAAAAAAACTTAGTTGCTTCTTAATGATATTGTATACCTGAACAAATTAGTATACCTACATTTTAGTTAAAAAAATTCAAATACTCTTGAAATTCTACTTCATTGGTTTATAACATTCAGCTGGACTATCAATAATTTCCAAATGGAGTATAATTTTGCGAGGATGCGACACATTTCTCGCGTCATTCACGCCTTGCCCTTGTACCACTCTCAGTAGCGAAATAATGGGCTTGTTTATTGAGCTATTTTGTATTCAAATAAAATAGCAAGGCCTAGTTAATAATATGTGTATCACTTGGCTTATTTAGAGAACTTTAAGTAATATGTCAATGACCTTAGCATTTTTATAATTCTGCATTATCGTATGTTTTCATAAGAAATGTAACATCACGTTATGTAAGTCAATAAATACGATTTCCTTCCTGTTTTTATAACAAGCAAATGTTATAAAAATACTGTTGGAATTTTGTTGTATTATTAAAATTAAACTGAAAACAAATAATGTAAGTCACTAATTGCTGTTATTTGTAATAATTAATCCGTCCTTTAAAAAGTAGTCATCTTGTAGCATTTTATATTATTAAATTGTGGATTTTCTCTATCTTTTTCTATATCAACATTTAATAGTCCAGTAAGTCGAGCAGAAAATAGGACCTTACCTCCCAATTATGTCGGACTTCATGGATTTAGCTGAAAATTTTAATCTAAGCTTGTCTTACCCTCCTTTGCAAAAGTTATCTATGGGAGAAGTGTGCTTTTTGTTTTTAAGGGGTTAAAACTGCCCCAGAGTGGAACAAAAAACCACGCGTTTAATAAGCGTTTTATAGTAATTACTATTTAAATGGGAATAAGCCATAATTAAAGGTTAAAGTACGTTTATTGTAAATACAAACAAACATTAGTAAATTAAACAAATTTTGTTTTTTTTGTCAGTGAAAAAATTCTTCTAATAATTTAATTTTATCTGACTTATTTATATTGACAATTCAGACATACATTATACATTTTAAAGTAGACGATTTTAAAATGATATTGCCAATATTTAGATTTGCTTTAAAAAGACAAACACATGCCATGATGGCAGTAAAACTCTTCTGTTAGTGATTCCATAGTAAATTATGAAGGAAAAACCAGGAAAAAATCCTCATAATACTATCCCGACATGTTAAGTATTTGGTCGTGCATTTAGTTTACTTTCAACAAACACCAAATTCTGATTTTATATGTTTGTTATTTAAAAAACATAAATAATGTATCCTCTATACGTTACTGACTTACTAATACTGGTATTTTCCTTTTAATAACTCCCTCTTTTAATATGGGTTAGCAGAGCCTACTACATTCTGCCGAGTAATTTGCGACACAATTGGTCTCATTTAGCATAATTAGAGCCGGTTCTTTGATTTTTCTCTTTTTACCATCCGTTTCTTCTAGGACTATATTTGAATCATTCCATTGAACCCTATGTTCATTATCCTATGCGTGTTTACATATTTGAGATCTATCAAATTCTCTATTTTTAATACAAGATTGATGTTCACTTATTCTAACATTTAACGGCTTGATGTTTCACCTAAATAAAACTGATCGCATTCACAAGGTATTTCATAAATACAATTCTTTGTCATTTCTTGTTCATTGTTAGGTTTGGTTTTAGACAAAATAGATCTCAATGAGTTTGTTGTTTTGAATGTTGTTGAAATGTTGAATTAAAGCATGGAGACGAGTTGCCAGAGACAGGGGCGAATGGAAGATTATTCTGAAGAAGGCTTTGGCTCATAACGAGCTGTAATGTCACTGATGATGATGAAATGTTGAATTTATTTCCTATCCTTTTAAGTTTTTTCTGATAATCCTTTTATGTATGGTATTGTTATTTTACTCGTATTATTCCTTGTGTATGCAGAAGTTGTTCTGTTCTATTCGGTCGATTGTTGAAAATTCCTTACTTATAAACGATAAAGGATAATCATTTTTTAATAAAACAGATGTTAACAAATGTTTTTCTTCCAAGAACGAATTTTCGTTTGAACAAGCAATTTTGGCTCTGTTGTATAAGGATTTAATGATTCCCTCTTTAGTGTGTTATTATACTCTTTTTCCATGGTAAATGTTATTGTCTCTTCTTTATCGTTTATATCATTCAGGACTGTGTCCAACAACTCTGATCTATGAGGCCATATTGCGAGTACATCATCTACATATCTCCACCATACTGTGGGTTTTAAATTTTGTTTAGAAATATTTGTTTCAAAATATTCCATAAATATATCGGATAATAATGGAGATAAACTAGAGCTTGACTAATCTTTTATAATATTATTATTTTGTTGTTCCTTTCTTTTGATATGTTTATATGGTTGCTTTTTCCCTATAGAGTTGGAGAAGCAATTTTTTTTATTTGCGTATTCTTTATTTTTTGCAGTTTCTTGTATCCGCGCTATACTGTTATATGTATATCTCTTATAGCTTATTGTTAGCTTAATGCTTTAAATCAGGCATTATTTGAAATATGTCTATTTGCATCATATTCTTTTAATAATATTTTATAGACAATATGTTGATGGGAAAAATAAAAACCTTTCGCTTCTTACCTTCTCGAAACAATGTTATTGATATTCAAACGTATTGTGAGGTATTGCATATATTTAAATTAATTACCGATTAGCTATAGAAACATATCCAACTGTGAAAAATATGTTGTGACGTTGTCTTCACGGTAGCTACCCAGATATTGTTATACTATAAATCACGGCATATTTTTATAATTACTTCATTATATGGTATGTTTGAATAATTTTTCTATGATTGAAGGTGCTGGTTTCATTGACTAAAAATTAACAAAAAATATGGCAAATATTATATCCTTTCCTCCTAAGAATGCAAAAATCAGATATTAAATTTTTTCAGTCATAAACACGGTTAGTAAAAACATAAATTTTATGTTCATATTTTTTGACAAACCTCGTATATGACTTGTATTTTAGATTTTAGAACATGCAGAACTTTTTATAAAGAACAAGTTTTTTTAATATAACTAAAAGTTTCCCTTATGGTGTGGACTTAATTGGCCACACTGTATATAAAAGTTTGCATGCTTCCTGTAAAACCTATTCAAACGAAATTGTTTGCGAAGAACAAGGAATTGAACTTTCGTTCGGAATTCAAGTGTTTTTCTTCAAAGAATTTTAACACACAAATTAAAACCTTATAAAGGATGGAATTTGAAATACGTGAAACCTTATACATATATTTACCAATTCTAATATGTTGAGATTATATTTGATGATTGCAGTAAAATGGTTCATCTTGCACATTTAGTGCTAGTCTCGGTTTGTAAATGAAGTGATTGAATTTTGATCTGATTAGCATTTTTTACCTCGAAACATATAATCGTTTTCCTGTTCTCTAAAATTATTCCAAATCGAATTTTTGCAAATTTTTCCTTTTTCAGTTTGTTCGCCAACAGCCTTTGGGATTTGAGTACTCATTTCAAAGAAGACCCGGTCGTGTTATCTTCCTTGAACAAACTAATTCACAATCTTCAAGAAATGAACAAATTTCACACTATTCTCTTGGATCAAGCTTCCAGAACAATTTTAAAGAATCTCACATCGTTTATAAAAAAGTAAGTAATTTTTTTTATACATTTAGAGGCATTTTTGATTGACTTAATTTTATGGATATGTTCTTAAAACAATTAAGATATATTAGTCATACTGTCTAGGCGTGTAAGATATAATTTCAAGCGTATTTTCAAAAAGTTTTCTTTAAAGTGAATTTGTATTGAACAGTTTATGAATTGGAAATCGCTATCGCCGACTTCAGAAAAACGTTGGCTACAGACGACGCCCGAAGTCGGAACGGCGACATGTGGCAATGGCGGGAACTAACGATTCATTGTTATGAAGTCCCTACAAAATTAACCATTGGAAGAAATAGATATTCGAGAGGTTTTGAAAGACCTATGAAGCTATAGTATGTCACTGACAGTCAGTGAAGAGTTAGGACAAGGCCCAAGGCGGCCAATATAATTTCAGAAAGAACAGTTGCCTAAATTTAACATACATTACGTTTATTTAAAATTACGTTGCTCTATACATACACAACTCGTATTTACTTGTAAAATTTCTTCTTAACCCTCCATTAGTCGTGTTGTTAGATAAAATCTAATAAAATATTATCCAATACACAAATTTTCTTTAAAATTTGAAAAATCGTTTCCATGTTCCATGTTTCCATAGAAAAAATATTTTTTCCTATATATATTCTTGCTCAAATCGTTATTTTTACAAACCAGAAACTTAATGAAACGCGTTCCTCATACATCGAGATTGTTTAACTACTAACTTAGAAGAGATAATGGCGTTTATAGGATTACTTTATTTAGCAAGTTTAAAAAAAGGGAAATTACTTGAGCACATTCGACAGACAGATGATTTAAGACGTACAGATTCGATGACCATAACAGCAGACATGAAAGATCGACCCTAGATAACCTATCACCCTTTATTACTTAATAACTTCCATTCAACGCTTGTTTTCTTATCCAGGGCGGTTTGATATTAGTAAATCATAACTCTCTTTATAGCATTTTATTGAGAAGATCAAATCTATGTGAAACAACACTCAAAAATAAACCGTTTTAATAAATTTTCTGCTCACAAGTTTATATACCTACCACATTGCCACAATTATTGACAACTTCATGAAAGCCTGGCATATAATACCTAAGCAGATATTTTTATATGTAATATGTACGAAATTTATTGATAACGACTAGTGCCATTATCGTTATTATAATAATCGATATTCTATTTTTGGCATAATTAGGCACTTTACCTTGTTTGTCTTAGTTTTTAACAACTATGCGTAAATTCGTATGCGTTAAAAAGTTGTGTACAACGTTTGAATTATATTTACAATTCATATTGTATTAAATAGTTGAATAGTGAAACCTGTTAGTGGATTAGAACTAGTGATAAGGTAGGAAATTTTGTTAAAACTAACGCAAAATCAATATTTTATTTATTTCTGATGCAAAAAATGAAATATAAAAACCTAGACAAACCTAATTTTTTACCTTCTGAAGCCATTAGTGTAAAAAACTATTAATTAAACATCTGATCTATACTTTTAATAGCTTATACGAAAAATATTGTGCGCAAAAATAAAATAAGTTGCTATTTTCTTTTTTTTTCAAGTTTCAAAGTTGTTATTAAAATTTTATTTGAATAAAGTATGCCCTACATATTATATTATTAATTGATTCGTCTTATAATTGAGGGGTCCGGCAGTAAAAAATGGTAAGGGACAATAAAGAAGATTTGAGTTTTGAAGTGTTGAATTTTGAAAAAATATTCTTGTTTTTTTATTAAAAAATGTAAAACTATAAATCATACTAAAATAAGCTGATTATGTTGTTAATCAGTAGGCAAATTTTTTTTTTTTTGAACCTGTTCTCTATCCTTCCATTGTTATATCTGGTCTCTCCCAGTTCTCTCCATCTTTCCCTATCTTGAGCTGTTCTCTGCTATGTGGGACCTCCTTGTTTCCTGATGTCATCTTTCCACCTCATCTGTGGTCTGTCTCTTGATCTCTTTGCATTGTATGGACGCCACTTTCCGATGGCATCGTCCGTCTTGGAGACGTTCATTGTGTCCAGCCCATTTCCATTTCAGTTTTGCTGCTTGTTCTATCGCGTCTACTGTCTTTGTTCTGGTTCTGATCCACTGGTTACGTTTTCTATCTCAAGTGATACACCCAACATTTGTCTCTCCATCGCTCTTTGTGCCTTCCTTATCCTATCCAAATTGGCCTGTGAAATGTCCATGTCTGTGCTCCGTAGGTGAGCACCGGTATTATGCAGGAGTTATATACCTTGCTTCGTAAGTATAGAGGGATTGTTTGATTTTTTAAAACGTAAGAAAGTTTGCCGAACGCTGCCCATCCCATTCTTACTCGTCTCGATATTTCGGCTGTTTGATTTTCTCTGTTAGCTCTGATTGCTTGTCCTAGATAGATATACTCATTTACATGTTCTATTTTTTCTGTTTTTATTTTTATTGCCTCTTGGTCTTCCGTGTTTGTCATTACTTTTGTTTTGTTGAAGTTAATTTTTAGGCCTTTTTGCAGTGATTGTTCATGAAGTTCATTCAGCATTAATTCCAGTTCTTGTCGTTCCGAGGAGATCAGGAGTATATCATCCTCATATCTAAGGTGATTTAGGTATTTTCCGTTAATACATATTCCTCTGTTTTCCCAATCTGTTGATTTTATTATGTCTTCGAGGGTCAAGGTAAACAGTTTAGGTGAAATTATATCGCCTTGTCGGACTCCTCGTTTAACTTTTATATTATCCGTTATTAATTTGTCGTCCATAATAACGGTCATGGTTGCGTTTTGGTAAATATCATGTATCAATCAATTATGGCCAATCTACCCCCCCCCCCCCTCTTATGATAGATACACGTAGGCAAAATACGAAATACCAAATATTTTCTTACATTGTTTATTAAGGAAAATATGGCAATATGAATACTACTACTTAATTTTTAACTGAATATTTGAAAAAGTTTAACGCAACATGTTAAGTGGTATGACATGGCATGACTTAACATAATATAGTAGGTACTAGAAGTTTATTTTAAATTTATATACCATTCGTGAAAAACAGCTGGAATTCATTCCAATAATTATTTTACATTTTTCAGTTTTTCTGGATGAATACTAAGGGGATGATTATATTTTTGAGTAAGTGTAGGAAATTTTTCTTCTGCAGCTGTTAGTCTTCCTCTTTTATTCAAGGACATATAATTAAATAATCCGTTGTATGATGCTGAATATTGTATATTTTTGGGAACTTCTGAATATAGGCATAATTTCACACTACTTTGTAAAATACCTGCCGGTTGATTAAAATAGCTTTTTAGTACTGAACAATCATATATATCCTCCTGCTGAACCTTAGTTACTAGACTAGGTTTCTTTTCTGACACTTCTTCAAAATATCTTTCCAGTGATTGAACGAATTTCAATTTTGTATATTTTGAGACAGTTAGTGATTTCGTCCGACCTTCTTTTAGCAGTGTATTCATCCCACATAAAAAAGTGACCCTGACCATCTCCATGGGAATGTATGCTTAAGTTATAGCACCACAGTTCTCTTATAAAACATGGGACTGGTGGTAAGCTTTGGTGTGGGAAGGGTTTGCTGTAGATCAAAACTTATTGCATGCACATCTGGGTTTAAGTTTGCTTCCTCTACTGCGTCTCTGACTGTCTGTTGACCTGATTCAGCGTTTCTATGATGTAATTTTTGTTCAGTTGTAATTTTTTAAACCTCAGTTTCATCATTGTGTAACTTAGCATTTTCTAAAGCTACTGAAAACTTATCGCACGTTTGACATGTATTCATTTTTGGAGTTTTGAAACTTATATTATATTCTTCTGAATTTATCTGCAGAAACTGGAGTTTTCTTTTTCAAAATGCATTCTCCTACATATTTCTCATAACAAGTCTGAATAGAATATTCCGTACTTATATATTGTCTAGAGCTGTCAGCACGGGTGTAATGGCGTTTGTACTTAAGTGAGCTTTCAATAAAAGATTTCAGAAAATCTATATCAGAATTGGAATATCTTTTAGGGTGATCTGAATGTCGACCTCTTAGATCTGATTTTGGAGTACCTGATCAAATTTTTAATTGTTTTACTAGATTTTTAACTCGACCTCGATTTTTCTGTAAGCCATGGATACTTACTAAAGCCATTTTGCATACCTTAACATATTTTCCTTGTGATTTTAATTTATGTTCCATAGTTTGAGATCTTTTTGATATTTGTTCTTTAGTTTTTTTCCTAGTCACATTTTTAGATCTAAAAATTTAGTGGCACCATGAAGAGATAATACAACAGGCTCTGACTGTGTAGCTATAGAATGAGTTTCAAATGTAGAGATTAACACAAATCCCCAGATGGCAAAATCATGAAGTCTATCAGAAGAGGAAATTTATTGGGATTAGGTCCTATAAACCTGAATGGTAATAGTGATTATTATACTATTATTAATCTTTCTCTACTTTATATTTAATTTAAATTATACCTACTGGTCAGTCATAATACAGTAATACCCCAAACTTAAGCGATAGATGGGACCAGCAATTCATTTATTTTGATTTGCAAGGCTTTACAAAATCTAACAAAGTAGTTTGACCACTCAAAGATTTTTTTTCTCCCGTAAAATTTCTTCATAGCAGGCTAATAATTTTTTTCCCTTGTTTGGTAGAATAAATGCGCTCTTCGTTGTGGTCTATATTTTCTAAAATGTTTTTAATCCCTTTTCAATTAAACTGGGGCCTTCAGTCAAGTTTCCAATCGTCATTTGATCCTCAGATTGAACTGGATCCAAACACTCAAGCTCTTCAATGTCTTGTTCTTCGTCGTGCATTAGTATGCGGTCATCTATTATCAGCTCCTGATTGTGGGAATTCAACAGTTCTTAGACGACATCACTATCAACTTCTAAATTTAGTTGCTGGGCGATATCAACAACTTCTTTAATAACATTACTAACTTCATCATGCTCTGGCATCAATTTTATTTTGAGTGGCGTCAATTATTCTGGCATCAATTTAATTTTTGATTTAAAATCTGTATTTACGTTAAGTTTTCATTCCAAAGATAACGTTTTTCTTTTCTTATTTGCTACAGAAGGATCAGTTGTTTTAGTTAGTTCGAATGACATCATTGCTCTTTCAAGTCTTCAGTAGATATAAAATAAAAATCCCGCTATAAAAGTAACAGACACCCACTACGTAGACATAACTGTAATTATACAAAATAAATGTGCTGATTTCGTGCGAAAAGTCAAAACATGTACTTTGGATGAGCAATAATGTGTGGGCGGTTATCTGTCTAATCTATAATCTAACAATTGTGTGGCACTCAGATGACGAATCGACAAGATTTGAAAATCGTGTAACTCTGGATTCGCGTAAGTCGAGGTATTACTATACCTAAAAATACAGTGTTAAATACAATATTTAACAAATATTATTTAAAAATAATTACAAATAATAGTTTAACTATATATTATGCACTAATATCACTCTATGTCACACTTAGTTTGATCTCGTTTGTTGAACAGTTAGTAAATTTTTATGATACTGGTTTTATAATAGTCTAGTTTGCGCTAAAGCTTAGTTATGCTTTTTCATACACCACTTTGACGTAAGATTACAGGTAATTTTAATCGCCCATTGTTAAAGTTTATTAACTGCAAATCAATAAAATATTTATCCAGATATATATTATTTTATGCTCATAAAATAAAAATCAATCAAGGTTTGTAGTAATAACTTATTTCATCTTCAATTTTATGACTTAGAACGCGTACATCGTGTTTTGTTACTGACGCTATATTTACTATGTATTGCATAAACTCAAGTACGCTATTAGGTCCACATGGTTGCATTTATGCTACTACTGACATATTATTGTGACTGTGTTATAGTTTAACAGCATTAAGAGATTAAAGAAAAACTTGTGAATTTGTGACTCTTGACTTTCAGTAAACTTTCATTAGGTCAAAGATAAATATTTATTTTAGTTGTGTGTACTACAAAAGTATATGATTTTATCTACTTACTTCTGCATTGCAGTGATATTAAAGGAGTCAGAGACTACAAACAACATTTCGAGAAAATATCGTCGGAGTATGACAATATTCTCGTGAGGAATTCTCATACCCCTCGCAGTAAACCTCAAGAAGTGGAAGAAGTTCAGAACGTGTTGGTGGCGGTGAGGTCGTGTTTTGGACACCAGACTCTAGATTATGTCAATAGCATCAGTGTACTGCAATCAAAGAAAAGACACGAGATATTAAGCACTGTAAGTAGTTTTCGTGTAATGTTTTTGTTACAGCTTTAATAGTAAAACTTTAATATATTTCTTTATTAATTTATGTACATATTTCTTTTATAAGTCAATCCTGCATTATATTTAGTTTTCCACGATGGGTTGAGTTTTCGTTAAATGTCTTTATCACGTCTTTTATTGCCTCATAAATCTCTTAAATTTTTATTACCGCAGAGCTTTTCATATACAAGAAAGATTATGTACATAATATCCCTGGCTGCAATTTTCCAAATGCTCTAAGTTGCCAATAATTTATTTTTAAAACTATTTGAGTCAAACGACATTGCAGACGCGATTAAGCATTCATAATAATCATTACACACTGTTCGATGTTTCGATGACTCATAGCTTGACAGTTTTAAATAAAAATTATTATTTTTCACTAACATTTATTGCAAATAGTTTTCGATGTAATCGTGGAAAGTACGTATTTCTTTTTGCTGAAAAGCGCAGGTAATTTAATAATTTTTTATTTACATTTTTTGTACAATATATACAAAAATGTATCTATATTTATAAATAGGTAAATTATGGAAAGATAAATGATAAAAATGTATATATTTACTCGTATTTTGTTTACTCGTTTATTATGAAAAGTGATTTTTAAATTGCGTTGTTACGGATAAGAACTAGTTATCATTCTGTTTTATTTAAGAAATAGTTGTTGTCATTTTATTAGTTATTGTTGATGAATTCGGCATTTATTTGATAAAAAAAAGATTTTATAAATAGAAGAATGTATGTTTCCAATTCAAACTTCACAAAATGTTTAACTAAATGTTGATATCCAGTCTATTGTTCTTAAGAAAAGTAATTCATTTATTACGTACAGAGTGGATCACTGAAAACAGTCCACCTTGCGGAAACAAATCCTTTATTGTATAGAAAATATATTTTATCGATACATGCATCTGCTATTTGTCAACCCCTTAAGGTCGGTTCACACACATTTGTGACGTGACCGTATCGGAACAGGCCATATCAGTGTTTGGCCGGCCCGTAATTTTGACTCTTTCACTTCGTGTTCACGCAGCACAGTGTCGTATAATGAATGGCGTGTTTTTCGACAGCGATCAGCGACTGAATTCGCTGATCGTCTCTAATGTGACAATCATGATTTTAAGAGAGCTCTTTGTTTTGTAGTGTTCAGAACTTGTATGCGTAAACTATTTTGCAATATGAAATGGACGAATGAAAATACCCTTCAATTCAATATTATTCGGATTTAGTTATTCCAACATTATAACAAAGAATATAGACAAATATAGGACAGTTCAAATGGGCGATTTGGATACGGTTATTATACTTCGAAACACTCCTTTGAGGGCGTGTCACGATACACTTTTAACTGTATGCGACTGCATAAATTCAAACCTTAACCGTTGGCTTAAAACCATCATGAAAGATGTAGTTAGGGGGAAATGGGAAAGGAGTACGAACGGAGCTATTTATTTTTACTTATGCATCCACGCTTAATCAAATGTCGATGCCATTGTTTTACAAACTGTCGTTTTTTTTTTTGTTTTTTTTTTTTTTTTTTCACAATAAAATCTCTATTTTTAATAGATTAAATTGTATTTTTAATATTAAAACTTAAAAAGATATGAATTTTTCAATATTCAAACTTTTTATTATTTTTATTACATGTACGAAAAACCGGCACGTAACTTTTTATTATACTGTTTTCCTGCCCAAAAATTTATGAAACATTTTAAAAAATTTTCTAAATATATTCAATCAAAAATTTCATTTTCTCAGTACTTTTCATTAAACTTTTTAGACTATTTTCGAAATTACTTCATTGAACAATTGTCCTGTTCAATGGAAATGATTTAGTATTATTGAGAGATATATGATAATATCAAAACTGGTGTCTTCAAATGTATGTATGTAGGTATGTGTAAATATGCCAATAAACATTCTATTCTCGTATTACTCTAATAATAGTGTCGAATAGATTGCAAATTTGCATTCTATCCAATAAAAAAATAGGGTTTAAACAATTATTTTAACGGATGTTGTTGTATTTTTAATATTACGTGAAAATAACAATAGTTTATTTAATCTAATCTAATCTTTACTAGTTATTAGAAATACAGACAGCATTCAATTGATCTTAATCGTTTTGTTAATATCTTGATCAAAATATTGCTTTTGCAGTTGTTGTCATATATGCACGCGTGTACAACGTATTACCACCAAGGTTCTGACCTTTGTGCCGATTTGGAATCGTTTTTCAAGACTTTGGCAGATGAAGTAAGTATTATTACACTTTCAAAATAATTATTTTAGTAACAATCCTCCTCTTCTACAAGTTGTTTGCTATTAATTAACATTTATAATCAATATTATCTATATTTTTTTGGTGGTTTCCCGAAAAATGTATGTAATCAAGCTCAAATCACTGCCGGAAATATTCTTTTATGACCTAAGATTCATTTTCTATCTATTTTTCGTTACAATCTCGTTTTCTTGATAAAAAATTTTGTTTTGTTTATTCAATGTCTTCAGTTTTATTGTATTTCTAATTTTGTATATCTATAATGTGAGAATAACTAAGTTTTTTTTTGATGCAACCAGGATTTGGACAACTCCATAATATCTTGGAATTGATAACATATGCGTTTGTTGTTAAGTTCTATACCTTCTCAAGGAATTTTTCATCATATCTATTGAAAATCGATGGGCCTGGTGCACAATTCTTTGACAAAAGGGAAATCCGTTTTTGAGTATTGGAAATATGTTTTTCCAGTGCCACGCTGTTGAAATAAAATTTTTGTGATTTTGCTCTCTTTCTCTCTCTCTCTCACTCATTCACTCTCTTTCTCTGCCTCTACTACATTTTTTTAGCACTGTACTTGATATTCTATAAGTTATTTATATACATACATTGAATTGATCATCGATGGATTAATGGAGCAGTTTTGCAAAACGGTTCAATTTGTAGCAGCTATTTTGTGATTAAGTAATTTTTAATCGCTTTGAGGCCTATGTTCCTTGTAATTTGTTTTTATATAGATAAAAGTAGAGCAGAAACTGATTTTTTAATAGCATTTTTGAGCAATACTCAACTTAATTATATAAGTGGGTAATGTATGATTGAGCAAAACTGAAACTTCTATGTTTTTTTTTTTCAGTAAATACTTATTTAAACGATTTTACCGTTTTAGATCGCTACGATGAGAAACGATACTTATAAGGTGCAAAAAGAACTCGAAAATACTCACGCTATAGTATCTAACGTAGAACCGATTATATTAAAAAATGAAAAAAACTGTCCCACTATGGAAGGCTATTTGTTTAAGAGAACCTCTAATGCATTTAAAACGTGGAATAGGAGATGGTTTTATTTATACGACAATAAACTAGTATATAGGTAAGTATCAAAATCTTCATCCATTCTTCAACATCCATTCTTCTTTTATCCTTGCGGAAGTCTTTAATATTTCTTTAACTTCTTTAGTAGTTTGTGTTCAATTTGCTGCAGTTCGCATGCAGTTCTTCTTGAAGTCATTCTGTTACGTTAGGTTTTTAAGTTTTCTTGTGTCTATAGTAGAGATTCTTTGATGTCTTTTAAATTCTTAAGGGTGCGTGTAATCTTGACGATAATTGGATTGTCATCTGAGGCCACGTCTGATCCAGGATATGCTTTCACTGCTTTAACAGTATTGCGGTATCTTTCATTGATTATAATGTAGTCCATCTGGTTCCTGACTACTTTCTCCGATGTATTTGAGTGTAAAAATGTGTTTGTAATAATCAAGTTCTGTTCTTGACAGAATTGTTACAGATGGTCTCCTCTCTTGTTTCGATTTCCCAGACAGACAAATTTAGTTTTGCATGCGATGTTACCAACTTCAGTACTATTACCCTTTCTGAGATAGGGAAATGGAATTCCACCGCTCTATTAGATTTTTTATTAACTATTATTTCCACGCCGTGTCTGTGTTGGTTATTCTCGCTACCGGAATAATATATTGTGGTTTCGTCTGGTGAAAAACAACCTGAGTTGGGCCACCTGGCATCACTGATACCCAGTACATCGATATTCCACCTGTTCATTTCTTGAATAACATTTTACCAGACTGAAACATGCTCTGAGCATTCCAGATTCCTATTCTAGTGTTAATTAGAAGTCCATGTAACGCCGTTATTAGTTTCTAAAACTATGATGATTGTACTAGGGATATCCATGGGGATCTTTCATGTAGTGGTTTTCCCTTGTCTTCTACATCCTTATGCCGTTGACCAAGGTATTGGTTCATCCACCTTTGGGACCGATTTCTCAACCCCAGGACAAAAAGGGTGCCCTGCCACCTACCAATTCTTCCGCTCAGAGCCTTTGATTAGCAAGTGTGGGATTGCTTATACCGGCAATCGGTCGGTGAAATTTTAGCCATATTTGGCTACCCTCACTTAGTTACCCTCTAGGGTACCCTCAGTTATCAAGAACAATCTCCCGTCTATGACGCTCAATGTGGTCGTTCCGATAAAAGGTGCTACCTCTGTATCACAACCCTATACCCCGCATAACTGATACAACAATTAAATAAATTAAATTATTGCATGTATTAATCATTTCCGGATAATTATTGTGTAATATCTTTTAGAAAACGATCTGGAGAAGAACATGAAACAATTATGGAAGACGATTTGAGAATATGTACAGTGAAACCTGTCCTAGATGGCGAGAGGCGATTTTGTTTTGAAGTTTTATCACCTTCAAAGTAAGTACACTCTAACAATTACGTTATTTGGATACCCTCTGTATCTATTTTCTCTATCAAAGGGAAACATCTGGTAAAAAGAGTAAAATCAAAGAATCTGCTCTAACGTTGCTATATGAGACCAATTGCGTCCCAAATTTTTCGGCAGAATGCGGTAGGATCAGATTACCCTTATTAAAAGAAGAAGTCAATAAAATAAAAATACCACAATTAGTAAATCAGTTACATATCGAGGAGTTTTATGTTTGTTGAGAGTAAACTAAATATAAGACCAAATACTTACCATGTCGGGATATTATTATGAGGTTTTTTTCTGGTTTTTTCCTCATAATTTACTATGGAATTACTATCAGGAGAACTTTACTGTCATCATAGCATGTGGTTCTCTTTTTAGAGACCAGTTACATGCTATGATTTTTTCTGACCTATATTCTCAAGTTAAGTTGATTTCATGTAATCGAATGAACTATCTTATAAGTAAAGTTCCAGGAGCGCAACTCAACAATATTGGCAATATCATTTTAAAGTCGTCAATAAAAACGTCAAAAATAAACTACTACACAAACACACAATTTTCAAACCTTAAAAAAACAATACGACCCAGTTAGAATATATAAATTGAACATTTGCATTCGACGACGAAGACTATATTTAGATTTGTTGAGTCAGCCTAGTGTCGGACTCAACAATTTGTATATACTAGAATGTAGGCAAAACGAAAATAAACCTATCCTTTTAAATGTGTTAAGTTTGTCTTGAAAGAAAACGTTAAAAAGCTGTTTTAAGTGCAGTCATTGAAACGAAAAATACGGTCTTACCTCCGAATTTTTTTACTGTGAACCGATTTGCATGAAAATTTGGAATTAGGCTCATCTTACCCTTAACTTCAAAAGTGAGAATGACCTCAACTCTGCAACCACCCTGGGGGTGGTTGCCACCCCTTTTCGGGGGTGAATTTTTTTTTCAAAATAACCTCGGATATCGATAGAAGGCCTAATTTTAAGCAAAAAATCATCCATAAACTTTTTCGAAAAATCCATTCAAGTTATTGGCAATTGGAAATTCGCATTTTTTTTCACGTTTTTCATCGGTTTTTTGCAAATATTTCCAAAAATATACGTTTTATCGAAAATTTTATAAAAAACAAAATTGTAGCCGGTAAAAAAATGAACAATTTGGTTTTTTATAAAGTATTCTAAGTGCAATTTTACCGTTTTTTATTTTGTCTGAAATTTAATCGATGTGGCCAATGCCATCTAGCGGCAAGCAGATGCATTTTAGGCATTCTAATAAAAAAGTGTTTTGTAGTGCTGGACTTAAGCTTTAAAATGAGCACTATTAAAAGTCTTTTGCACGTAAAATAAGTGAGCTGTATTGCAAATAAGAGGAGCATCTAATGTTTTTTTCTTTTAAATCAATGGGTTTCATAAGTGTCCTTTACTTCAATTTTCATGCTATCACAAATTATAAAAAACCATTGTAAAGTTAATTAAAAGAGCTACAACATCCTTTATTGCAATATGTATTAAAAAACCTTTTTCAAAAACGGTAAATGGTTAAATGCCTTTAGAGAGGCGGTGATTGCGCTGCCACGCGCTCTTTAACCGATCATATCTCCGTCAATTTTTGTTTGGCAGAAAAAAACAAAAAAACCAAATTGTTTATCAGAAAAATGCCTAAATTTTTTATCCCTACACTTTTATACGTATCTGTCGTCATTTTTGAGATATGAACAAAAAATGATTTTTTTTTTAAATTTGATTTTTTTAATCGTGACTTTTTTGAAAAATATGTGTCCTGAAGCAGCCAAACTGATACAATCTATCAAACTCTTCCTAATAAAGTTAATTCTAGGCGGAATAGGATTAATTTTAATTTTGGTGGAAATGGCACTTATGAAACCCATTGATTTAAAAGAAAAAACATTAGATGCTCCTCTTATTTGCAATTCAGCTCACTTATTTTACGCTAAAAAAACTTTTAATAGTGCTCATTTTAAAGCTTATTTCAAGCACTACAAAACCCTTTTTTATTAGAATGCCTAAAATGCATCTGCTCGCCGCTAGAGTCATTGGCCACATCGATTAAATTTCATACAAAATAAAAAACGGCTTTGATTGATCTTTAATACCTAGCTTAAGATTGCACATAGAATACTTTATAAAAAAACCAAATTGTTGATTTTTTTACCTGCTACAATTTTATTTTTTATAAAATTTTCAATAAAACGTATATTTTTGGAGATATTTGCAAAAAACCGATGAAAAACGTGAAAAAATTGCGAATTTTCAATTGCCAATAACTTGAAAAGTATTGAATTTTTCGAAAAACTTTATAGATGATTTTTTGTTTAAAATTAGGCCTTCTATGGATATCAGAGGTTAATTTAAAAAAAAAATTCACCCCCGAAAAGGGTTGGCAACCACCCCAGGGTGGTTGCGGAGTTCAGATAATTTTCACTTTTGAAGTTAAGGGTAAGATGAGCCTAATTCCAAAATTTCATGCAAATCGGTTCACAGTAAAAAAATTCGGAGCAATAATGCTTCAATGACTGCACTATTTCTATCATCATGCCGGTCTGAATATAATAACAATCTAGTTTCAACATCGCAGTATGTATATACTGTCTGTCATCTCTTTGTTAACGTAAATTCATCACTGCACCTTTTTAATTTATTGTTAATCGATTCTAGAAGCCACATGCTACAAGCCGATACCAAAGAAATGTGCGATTGTTGGGTGGATGCCCTTCAAAAGGGTATCGGCGCTGCAATTCAGAGGATCCAAAGTATAGATTTCGATCAGTTGAAAGTGGGAGATAATAGCATCACATCTTACTCAAACAACATCACCAGTAAACACCAAAGACATAACGATAATAATAACAGAACCAAAAAGAGGTAAGTAGTCGTTGAGAATGTGAATACTAAAATGAGTGTCACCCTTTTTTAATACTTGTTTGTGTTTTTTTTTTTAATTTGCCTCTGTTTGTTGTTCAACTACAGACTTGAACTTTTAAAACACGGCTCAGAACTGGATGACATATGATTGTGTTCTATGTGTGTGTAATTTATAAGACGAGATGCTCTTCCTTAAATATCTCCTGATCAAAATCTTCTGCTACTGTAAATTTTCTAACGGTGCACTTTTTGTCTCTGCTTTTTAACCGAGATTCAGAATATTTTTTAATAGACATACGAACTTAAATTTTTCCTTCCAATACTTTTACTTTTGCTTATTATTATTATTATTATTATTATTTGGAAAAACTATTTTAGTGGTTCTACAGTGTAAAGCCAAAATTAGTTCTGTACCACACACATGTAATGTAATATACTATTATTTTCCAGGATGTGGGAGCAACTGCTGAAAATTCCCGGCAATAACTTCTGCTGCGATTGCAGAAGTCCCAATCCTCGCTGGGCTAGTATTAATTTAGGAATCACACTATGTATCGGTAAGTTTAACTTTCGTTTTTTATTCTCGATCCAAAAGACTATTTAAATAATATTTTTAGAATGTTCTGGAGTCCATAGAAGCTTAGGAGTTCATTATAGTAAAGTAAGATCGTTAACGTTGGACGATTGGGAACCAGAGATTATTAAAGTCATGGTAGAATTAGGTAATTCAGTGATAAATAAAATATATGAAGCTAATATGACTGACGACGTCATTAGGCCGTCAGATCAATGCCCTGGGTAAGTATTTGTTTATATTAATATTCTCGAGGGTTCATCCGTTTTAAAGTTGTTACTTATTTAGTAGTAAAGGTTCGTAGACGTTTAGACGAAATATCATTCCACTAGGAAACTAAGTTCCTGTAGCTGGCTCTATACCATGTATCACAAAAAATTTTATTTCAAATCCTATGAAAATTTTTTGAAATACCATTCGTCATTATAAGAGCCGTACAGAATTTATTCTAACTTATTAAACTGTTTGTTCGGGCTGTTAGACCGTTGTCTTCTGAGATTAGTTCTCGACGTTTCGCCAACACTAGGTGTTGGCATCTTCTGGAGATGTTAATGCTTCGTTTGTAAGCAGAAACTGACCTGTCAGTTTCTCGGGCTCGCCGATAAGGGTCTAAAAATAAATATTTATCTGAAAATATATAAAAAAAGGATTTTTTCGGCCTACCTCTTTAAGAGATCACTTAAACAGAATAACGGTTTGACGTTCTAGAAGATAAAGAATGATGCCAGAGATTTTTCGAAAGTGTTTTTCGAACAGTTGAGTCATGAATCAGTAGACCTGATGCTGCTAAGTCTTGTTTGAGCTCTTGGCTTGTTTTTCTTGAGTCCAATTTGTTTTTTTGTTAAAATCTTTCATCTGCTGGAGTTGTTTTTTTCTTTCCTCTGCATTTTCCTAACTTTTTCACATCCATTGATCCCATTTCTCGTTTAAGCTTCAAAATCTTGCTTACTACCTCTTGATTCACTCCACACCTTCTTGCGATTTCTCTTTATGCCACAGAAGTGTGTTTACTTAACGTGATAATCTTTTCATGCTTCCTAGGCGTAATATCCATGATGAAATTAAACAAAACAAAGTCACTAATTACTATAAAGAACAAAATATTACAAAACAACACATACTTAGTGGAAAATGTCCTAAAACACTCTCAAATAAAAGCCAGAGAAAAGTAAGGTTAAGTTTTTCAATGCTTGGTCAGTTGTAAATGTGTGGACATTGTTGCCAACTGTGAATATTGAAAAATGTCACAATGATTCCATTAATTCGCACAATACTGTGTAAATGTTCAAATCAGCATCGACATTCTTTATCTAAATTTTACCTAATAATAGTTCGAATAAAAATTTAAAAAATTATTTACGTTTTTAGTGCTATTAGAGAGACCTTCATAAAAGCAAAATATGTCGATAAGAAATTCGTCAAATCTCTTCCACAATTCAACAAAACTTCCCCGTCATCGAATCGAACGTCTCGTCCTCCCAGTCTGATGGACGTCCGAAAATGGAGCGTCCGCAAAATTCGTCGAAGGCCTAGGAGTTGCGATAAAAAAGATAAAAAGTCGTTGAAGTCGAACGAGGTCACAACGAAAATAGAAAAAATCGCAGAAGCCGGAGAAACTAGTAGTAACGGTAGTGGAAAAGACGAGGATACGAATAGCGAATCGTCCAAACGGAATAGTTTGAGAAAAAGGGGAAGCGTTTTATTGTTTGGAAATGATTTGGACAAACAGCCGATAGATGGAGCCATAGATTTGAGTAGCGATCAAGAATCTACAGGGGGAGAGGAAGAAAATGAGACTGTTGGTAAGTATTTTTTTTTTATATACTTACATTTGATATTCTAATTCTACCGAAAATATAGACAGAAATAGAGACAGATCGAGAGAGACTTACATCTTCTTCTTATGGTACCCTATCCAATTAGTGAATGTTGGCGACAATTCTGACATACTCCTCTCGATCTTGTGTGGCTCTAAAGAGTCCTCCTTCAGTGTTTATTCTATCTATTAGTCGTTGTAGCGCTTCTTGACTATCAGCTATTATGACTGTATCATCAGCATAGCGAAGATTACTAATAGTCTGTCCGTTGATTTTGATTCCATTTTCAGTGTCACTTGGCTCTATCGAAAATCGTTTCAGAGTAAAGATTAAAAAGGAGGGGTGACAGAACACAACCCTGTCGTACACCTTTTTCGATTGAGAAATATCATGTAGATTCCAGTCCTACTCTCACAGATGCCACTTGATTCATATAAAGGTTCTTTATGATTCTAAGGTCATTCTCATCTATCGAACGTTCCTGGAGTTCTAAGGTCATTCTCATCTATCGAACGTTCCTGGAGCAATCTTACTAATTCTGAATGATTAACACAATCGAACGCTTTCTGGTAATCTATAAAGCATTTGCCCTTACAACTTGTGACTTTAATATTTTTTGGGGTGAGGGGGGGGTTCACTTTTATATTCATTTTCAGAGTTTCTTCTAGTGTTGTCTGAGTATAGTTGTTGTGTGTAGTTTCTCCAATGTTGAAGTAGTAATTAATTTATTGTCCTTCACAATAGTGTTAAAACTGCAAGGTTTTGTATGACCTGTCACTTCTTTAACGAGTTTATATATGTTAAAGTGGTCATGTTTTTCTTATAATTCATCCATTTCTGTACACCTATCTAGCAGCCACTGTTCTTTAGCTTTGCGGCACTCTTTTCGTATTTGACACTTACATAGAGAGATAGATAGAGATAGACAGACTTACATAGAGAGATAGATAGATAGAGACACACTTACATAGAGAGATAGATAGATAGAGACACACTTACATAGAGAGATAGATAGAGAGACTGACTTACATAGAGAGACAGACATAGAGAGAGAGAGAGAGAGAGAGAGAGAGAGAGAGAGAGAGAGAGAGAGAGAGAGAGAGAGAGAGAGAGAGAGAGAGGAGAAAGAAGTTGCTATCCTATTTGATAAATTTTAGCACTATCCAAATAATATAAATTTAATAACACTGACTTTGGTTTCTCCAACACTTCTGCCTTGTTCTTGTCATTTACTTCTCATTTAATAACTTTCAGGTGAAGAAGATATCTCGAAACTGCAACCAGATTTGTTACTTTATAAAGCTTCCGCCGCTCATAACTTGCCAGTGATGTGTGAAGCCCTAGCCTTAGGTGCCGATAAATGTTGGATAAACCCAGATGACAGGGGTAGATCCCCTCTTCACGCTGCAGTATTTAGTGTAAGTACGATAAAGAATTTCAAACTAGTATTTATTTGTAAATGGCATAATATGTATTAATTTGTGTTATATATTTTAGGGATCTGTGATGCCATGTGCCTATTTAATACTTAACGGGGTGAAAATCAACGCTCAAGATCAAGACGGGAAAACACCTTTGCATATAGCCACGCAGGAAGGTCACACTGCGCAAGTATGTTTGTTTTTGAAACATCGCGCAGATCAGCATCTCGAAGACGACGAGGGAAAAGTGCCGCTCTCTATAGCTGAACAAAAAGAACATGCAGATATCGTGACTTTGTAAGTATTTATATATACTAGTGATAGTCAATACTAGTGATTTTGCCCATCACTAGTATTGTATGTATAAGCAAATTTATCTTCATATTCGTTTTGTTTTAAAAACTAGTGGAATTGTGGAATTCATCATATCTATATTAGGATTTTTTATAACACTAATCCAGAGGTTAATACTAGCAATAACCGAGAGATATTAAACTAAGTTTAGTTTGATTTCTTTGCAATAATAACCATCAAATCAAACAATTTAGACGAATAATAACCATCTGAAATTGATTATATAGACGCTAATCAATTATTATTACTGATACTGACAGTTGGCGATTGACAATTATAATTTTTAGTTTGGTTCTAAACCTAAACTGCAGAGTATAGACTATATGTGGAGTATAGCGACATCAAAAGATTTGTATCGGTACTACAAATGACATTTAGTTTAGTTTGACCTTGAGCTACCTACGTGAAATGTCTAGTTATTAGTGGTCTGTGGGTATAATAATGAATAATAATGAATGTTGTAAAGCAAACTTTTTAATTAGTAATAGTTGTTTTGTAAATATTCTCTAGTATTAAATGTGTAGTATCGATTGATTACGCTATATTTTTCTTTAAGAACAACCCGATAAAATCAAACACGTAAGGAATCAGCCGTGAAGTCTGCTTACGTATATCGAAGGAATCTCTTAAACAGTCCATGGTCCTAAAATATTTGGTACTGTGCCCGCTGGGGAAAGGAATTTAATAAGCTTTCCCCCAATAATTGGTGGAGATCAGACAAAATTCTATCAATAAATTTTTACGTAATTGATCAAAAGTTTCATCAAATCCATTTTCAGTAATTTTTTAATAATGATCACCAATTTTATATCATAGTAATCTGTAACTACTGTAATACTAATAATAATTGAAAATTAACTATTTCAGATTGAGATTGGGTCGATTAAACGAGGAAATGAAAGACTCCGAATTAGGCGTAACCGGAGACGACACATTCAACGACGTCGTCAGAGACTTCTCCAGGTTAGCCTGTTCTCATCCGGAAAAATTGCAAAGGTCCAAAATCGAAGAGGATGTTCGAGATGAGTAACGTGGAAGTTGAATGATTCGTGTGATTTTGTATTCATGCCAATTATTAGTTGTAGAACATGTGGACCAAAAAAGTGGTACGTCGCGTTGTTCATAAACGAAACCAGGTGATATTCAGATAATGTTTGATCGCATGTTACGTAAATACGTAAATTTTTCAAGTATTTACATTTATTATGCATTTATCTAAAAAGCTTTAATTTTTATTGGTGCTAAAACTTACACATTAGTGTACACAACAGGAGTTGTAAGAATATGATAATTGTTTAGAACAGCTTTTAAAATTTTAATATGCAGATTACAGCCAAATTAACGACAAAGTATATTAAAATCCAATAAAACTTTTGATTACAAGTTATCATTTATCTTTACCACCCTTTCAGCGATCATCTTCCAAAGATGTTTTTTTATCCGCTTATTTCAGGCTTTGTTACTACTTCTTACCCTTTCATTCAACAAAAGTATCATTGAACAAGTTGTCTACTTCACAATAAGATGTTTTTCTGTGACCGTACCCTCTCATCTATAGAATAGTAATTCGTTAAGAGTCATTTTAGAAAAGCAATTTATCTTACAGAACTTTTCGAAACACAACTACTGTCGGTTTTAGTTTAATAATGTAAATGGTAAACAAATGTCAAAATCACAGCATTCTACATTTAAATATTGAAATTTATTAAAATCTGCGTATTTTGCACTGTTTTATGTATTTAAGACCTTCCAGACTACATAAAATCTTAAGTGTAGGGGATGGAAGTTAACACTTCAACGGCGAAATTTATTTTTTGCAAAAAAGGAAAGGAAAAATCATAAATATTGGTCAAAACACTTTATTAAACATATTGGTACAAGTATTTTTCTCAAAATATATGTAATTAAAAAAAAATAGTCGTTACGTTTTGGTAACGCTAGCCGGTTAGGGTATACAAAAAATTTTTGGACAAGAAAATTATCACTTTGGGCTGTGAAACATTATATTGCACTCTAGACATAATCCTACATCACATTTGACACACATAGTACGAATACTTGAGCTACAACCTTCTCCAGCACATCGACGCCTCTTATTATTGGGGATGTTTATCAAAAAATGGTCTGTTCTGTCATATCTCAAGTTATCCAAAACCCTATTAAAAGATAAACTTGATTTAGCAGCCGCAGGTCTTCCAGCACCTTTTGAAGCCATGCCATATTTTATCAGATAGGCTTGAGCAATCTCTCGTCTGAATTCTAGTTGGGTAAGCTGTGTTTGATGTTTACACTTCTTGGATATACACCAAGCATTGACTATAGCAGCTTCGAGTAGCCAAGTAAAAATTGACCACCACCACTTCTTACTACGAATTGAAATCCTGTATCTGGATATCTGCTGGTCCATGAAGTCAGTGCCTCCTATAAATCGATTATATTCAGAAATCAGATAAGGTTGTGGTACTTGAATAATTTTTTTTTCGGCTCGAGAGTAGCGTTTTACTTGAGTGACTGGATTGACGCCATGACATGTAGATGCTACTGTCACTACATTATTATCCATCCACTTGACTAATATTATTGCATTTTGTCGATGACAGATATCGTGTCTCCTCTTTTTTTCGATTTCGAAATAATACTTTTTTTTAGGTAACTCACAACTTGTAGGAATTCTATTTTCCCTCATAGTTCCCGTACCATCATACCCTCTTTGTTTCAAGGAATATAACAAATTAAAGCTTGTGAAGAGATTGTCAAAGTAAAATGTGAACGGGAGCTTTTTTTATATCATCCGAAAATTCATCTATCGTGCAAAGTAGAGGAGCAGCACATTTTCCAAAATTGCTTTCGTAACTGGTGTTTCACTTTGGGTTTTTTCCTTGATATATATCAAAGTTCACCAAATAACCAGAAGCAGAGTTTAGGCACCACATTTTATACCCAAATCTGATGGGCTAACCCCGAATAAACTGTTTACATGAATGCTTCCCAAAGTATTTGATCATAGCCTCATCGTAATTCAAGTTCTGTTCAGGTATCCAGTTGTCAATAAAGCGGCGTTTCAAAAGGCCCATCAGTGGGCGTAGCTTCCACATTTTGTCACCATGTACAGGCTGTGTGTTGTCGGCGCAGTGCAAATATTTTAAAATTTGGCGAAACCGATCTCTTCTCATAGATTCAGTGGCTAAAATATTTTTCATATCTTGTTTGGAATCCCAGTAAAAGTCCCTTCCAGGTAACTCATTATATCCTGTAACAATCATAATCTCAATTACACATTTCATTTCTTCGTTAGAAATGTTTGGATCCGGTTTATTGCAGAAAAGTGCGTATTTGCTTGATTCGGTCACAAGTAGTTCAATTATTTCCCTATCAACAAACATCTCGAATATATCTAAATAGTCCATATCACTATATTTACCATAATCTGGTTTAGGAAAATACCTGCTCACACGTTCAAAGTCACCTTCAATCCAGGATATTTTTTCTGACCCAGGGCGGACGATATTTGACACTGGCTCCGATTCAGGTATATCGATAAAAGCTCTGACAGCACGAGGAGGGCCGATTTCAGCTCCTGGTGTCAACTGTCGACCGCTTAAATTATCTAGAAATCCGCCACCATCTTCATCACCAGAATCCTCATCGGTAAGGACATTCACATCAGGAGGCTCGATGAATATTTCATGAACGTCCAGGTCTTCTTCATAAACCATTTGCAATGCTTCTTCCAGCGTAAACCCACGCCTAAAAGTAACAAATGAATATACTAGACAATTATTAATACATAAACAAGAGTCCTAGCTTTTCTGATCGCATATATACCACATACTCAACACGCAAGACATTTATACACGTACAATATTTTTTGTCTCCCTAAACCAGCTAGCGTTACCATACGGTAACGCCAATATTTCTGAGGTTACATTATAGAACTTGAAATACTTTCATAACAAAATTTGGTCTAGAACTGAAGAAAAGCTATCTATAAATACTCTTTTGTAAGTATTTTTCATAACAATTCAAAAAAGAAGTTTTAGTAATACTTACTCTAGACGGATGTCCATCTTTGAAAGCTCGTAACTGTTACCACAATTTTTAAAATTTGAATAAAACTGCCAAAAAGATTTTACGTTGACGTTGGACCCAACAATGTGTTCATTCACATACTAAAAGCGTGTTGACAAATAACCAACGCATTCCGATGGAACCAAAAGCTGTGTTGCCACTTCTAAAATGAGGTTGTCTACCGTTACGATATGGTAACGCTAGCCGTTTAAGGGTTAAATATTATTTAAATTTTCACGTTGTGTAATAATACAAAAACAAATCACTTAAACTAAACTATATTGTAGAAAAAAAAAGGTTGCGGACGTTCTTCTGTCCGCAACTACCTGGGGCCCCTCTCGAGAGGTGTAAAATGAAGGTCGGGTATAACTTAAACTGAAAGTGTATTATACCGGGTTGCTCGAAAGTTTTAACAATAAGTTTTACATTGAATAGGAGATTTCAATAATGACTGTATATACAAGGTAATGAATTTGAAAATCCAAAGTTACTAATAATATAAGAGAAACGGCAAATCTGGCAACATTGCAAATATCAAATATGAAATCTCCGTTTCCCAAAATCGGTGTACCTCAAATTTTGTAAAATTATGACTAGATAAGTGGTCTTTTCCAGACTTTTGGGCCATTCTGTATATTATTTTAAGAGAAAATCAGAGAAAAACGTGTAAAAGTTATTTTATATACGAAATTCAAGCTTCCAGAAACTTTATTAGTTGTTTAATCACATGAAAAAGTGATTAAAACTGATTTTTCCAGAATTCCCAATTCTCCTAGACGTGAACTTATTTGTTCCCTACACAATCAATATTGTAAGGTAAATTTTAATAATTGTAAATTTACCTTAAAACGATTGTACTGTGTTTTTTGGTCCACTGATAGAATAAAATGTAAATATATACTTATTCTATGCATTTAAAAAAGCCTAACTAGTCTTTATACAACGAATATCCTGTTGAGGACAACAATGAGCTTAATATTTTTCATGTTATTCCAATAAAACTTGTTCATTCATATTAGATCGAATAACTAGATAATAGAAAGTGAAGATGCTTTTATTTAAAATTCCTATTTGTTTAATTGTTACCTTTTATTTAATATTTTCTTTCTGTTTTATCTATGTTTTAGACAAAATTAATGTACCAACCAAAGTTTTTAATTTTAAATTATATTTTTGTAAAGGTTTACGTCATATTATAGTTTGACAAAAGACTTAATGTGCACACAAACAGCAAAAACTTGCAAATCTCTAACAAACAAACTAAGAAGCAGTTAATTAAAAAACTTTATCGAACAATTTCACCGTTTTCGCCTTCTTCACGCCCGTTTACTTTTAAACTCTCACTGTTGTAAGTGAGTCTGTATCTCGGGAGTTTAGTAATGTATTTATGTTTCATTCACAGCGATTTATTGACGCAAAATTTGCTCAATATTCGTCTAAAACAAACAAAACAAAAAACTATTGTTTTTATTTGTTATATACTGTATGATAAAAAACATTTGCTCAGTTGTACTCTTAACTTTGATTATTAAAATGATACACAATTAAAAAAGAGACTACAGTTTGTCAAATATATTTCTGTACGAATAATACGATATAGCGTATAGACATATAGTGCTAGGTCTATTAGATCTTTCCTTTTACATTCCATTAAGCACTCACAGCACTAGAAAATACACAGTTATTCATTCTTTTGGATTAAGTAAAAACATAAAGAAATATAAAAGTAAATTAATATTAAAAATCTAAATTAATACTAAGTATTTCATCCTCTGCATAGTATTACACTTTCCATGCGTTCTTTTAAGGACTGTATTAAGTTTCTGACTGATTCCTGAGAAATCGCTTCCCACTCTTCATCTAATGCAGTTTGTAGCTCGCCACTGTCGCTGGTGCTAGATTACGGATACGAACCCTGCCTTTGAGAGCTCATCTCATAGGTGCTCGATGAGATTCATATCGGAACTCTATAGAGGCCAGTCTATTGTTGTTATATTGGTGTTGGCCGGGTAATCCACGCTGTGTGACATTGAGGGATATCATACATTAGCATGAAGCTGTCTCCTACGTAGCGGCGTTGAGGAACAAGATGGTCTTGGAGAATGTCCGTAATGTAACGAGTTTGTTTCTGACGTGCGTTTAATTTGGCCCTGTGTTAGCTCGTCTGGGAGTCAAAGTGGCAGCCTAAAGTCTTCTCCCAACTGGCTACTGAGTAACAGTGAAACCTTGTACATTTCTCAAGGATTGTTGAAGTTGAAAAAATCAGTCTCTTGTCATTGTTTCACTAAATATATTGATATGCCAATATAAACAATCTGCTGGAAATTTTTGGCAACCGGAAATAATGTGTAAACCAATAGACTTTCAATTTCACCTGTAGATGTATTTTTGAACTGAGTTTTTTCGTTACGAAAAGCATACATATTGGTAAAAGTGGCCATCTACTCAAACTGCTGTTCGTGTATATATTTACAAAAAAAATTTAACGATCAGAAGGCTCTTAACTTGTTGGCGTTGTAGGGGTAGGTCTTTATTCCTTATTCCAAACCAAATCTGGAGGTTCAAAATCTTTCTTACGCAATTTTACAGATTTTTTGCTTGTTACAAAGCTAAAATTGCTTTCTTTTGAAGTAGATGGTTCATCAAATAGTAAATAGTTCTCATCAACCTCGTGTGACCCAGATTCGTTCTCGTCATCCTCGTGTGACTTAGCGATTAGAATCTTTGTGGACCCTGAGTGATCAGCACCTACATGAACTTTTTTTCTTGCCTGTCGAGGGCTCTGAACTGTCAGCTTTATCTTTCTCCTCATTCCAGTACGACTCATATAACTCATTAAGGTAGGTCCCAATTTTTCGACACCTACACGAACTTTTTTATTTTACTTAAGAATATTTCTGTAATATCTTTCTTATCCTCGTCACTAAATTCAATATCAGAACCAGTATCCAGTAATTCCCATAAAATAGCTGCATCCTCTTCATTTCTGGATCATATTTTCTCTCTGAAAATAAAAATATTTGCATAAACTTTAGTAAATCACCTACTAAAACCCACATTTAAAATAAAAATATGTAAAAAACGAAAATAGATATTTTTTTAAAATATATTTTCATGTATACATGAAAAAAATTAAATTATATATGAAAATATATTCATTCCCATTTCAGTCCAATCCTAATGTTTATAGTTATGTCCAACAAATAAAAACCGATTTTTTATTGGTATAAATATTTTTTTTTACAAAATACATATTAACATAAATTCTTTTATCGTTTTACTACACAATGCAATTATAAAATGTTAAAACTTATATAAAAGCAAACGGATTTTCTTGGATTTTTATTTACTTACCATGAGGAATTTTCGAGAGTCTGTCATTGCACATAAGCAATAAAATAAGTTCTCGTTACAACCACTGTTGCGTCGAAATTATGATTCAGTTTTAAAATAAAGGCTCCTACAAGTGATCTAAACTTCATCTTATTTACATACCGATGCACGTCATTATCTACGTCAGAGATCGAAGTTGACATAGTTGCCAAAGTATAAAAAAATCCTGACTCCATTTTAAATCAAATAGATCACATAATTATTGCAAAAGTATTACCATCTCTTTACAACGACTATTTAAATTGTTACGTGACATTTTGTTCTAAAAAGAACAGATTTTATTAAATAGGTAAAAATATAAAACAACTGTCAACACCGCAACTGTCAAATAAGTGTTATCAATTTATACCAAAATTTCACCTTCGTTCGATTACAGTTACAGTGTGTTCCGAACAAATGTTCTTCATAAAAACGCTTTATAATGCATTTATACAAATTAAATGAAACACATTATTGTGTATTTCTTTAAGTTAACATCAATATAAATCTTTAAATATTATTTCTACGTGTATATAATAA